AATTTGCCTTCATTCCTGGTCGACAAATCCTGGATTGCTCTTTTATTGCTAATGAATGAATTGACTATTGGAGGAAAAACGGACTGAAGGGTTGTGTGTTGAAGGTGGATTTTAGGAAGGCATATGACACAGTGAATTGGTCAATTCTCTTTAAAGTGATGGAGAATATGGGTTTCGGGGCCAAATGGTGCAGTTTTTTTATAGAAGATTAGGCCTTATTAAAAAACCCCTTCATATCCTACATGTTACATTAGTAACATGGAAGACATAAGAAGGAGGAAAAGAGTGCCTCTGAATTTTATTGATCTGAACAATAATACACAACAAGTTCCTAACCACTAACTGCTTACAACATAACATTTGATACATAACACTTACTACATAACACTTAAACCAGAACACCCTTCAGAAATACAAACAAAACACAGCACCTTAAGAACTGTACCACATAACCTATTAATCAACCTATACCAGCTTTGGCTAACTCATCTATTTCCCAATTAGCAGCTCTCAGAATATTCCTTGTAATAATACCCTGTCCTTCCACACAAGTAGCTATATCTCTCACCAAGGGCTGAAACAAAGGGGTACAAAAATCCAGATTTTTAATCCACTTCAAAACACTAGTAGAATCCGATTCTAGGATAATCCTCTGGCTTGGAATAGAACATACTTCTTCAATAAGAATCAACCCTCTTTCTGATGAATGTGTTACAACAACCTCGGTGTCAATTCTGGTGAATGAGGTTCCTATTGAGGAATTTCCAATGGCAAAGGGTCTTAGACAAGGCTGCTCCCTTTCCCCACTATTATTTAATTTGATTGGGGAACTTCTCAACTTATTGCTACTTAAGGCGGTTTCTTCAGGCTATTATGTGGTTTGGCTATCGGGAGGAATGAAGATCCCTTCAATTTATCGCGTTTTCAATTTGCAGATGATCTAATAATTTTTTTAATGCCTCGAAGATGCATATCCTAAATGTAAAGAGTATTACGAGTCTTTGAAGTCATGTCTAGTCTTCAATTGAATCTCAGTAAAAGAATATTATTTGGCATAAATACAAGTGAATAGGAGGTAAAGGAGTGGATGAGTGCTGTTGGATGCTCAGTTGGAAGCTTCCTATCAGATTACCTTGGGTTGCCACTTGGAGCAATTAGAAATTCAACAGCCCTATGGGATCCAATTGTTCAGAAATTTTACAAGAAGTTTGTCGGTCGAAAGGCAACAACCCTTTCTTTGGTAGGGAGATTGGTCTTGTTAAAGGTGGTATTGTGCTCTCTTCCTACTTATTATTTATCCTTATTTAAGATCTCTTATTCTGTGAATAAAAAGCTCAATTCCATTATGACAAGTTTCTTATGGGGAGGAGGGATAGAGAAGAATAAAATCCATTGGGTAAATTGGTTGACAGTGTGTAAAGCCAAAAATAATGGTGGTCTGGGTGTGTTGGACCTCAACCTTATGAATAGAGCTCTTCTAAGGAAATGGTTTTGGAGGTTCGCTAATGAAAAGGAGTCCGAATGGAGGAAGTTGATATGTAGCAAGTACAATATTGACAAGAGTTTACTATTGTTCAACTGTAAAATTTCGGCTCAAGCTTCTTACATGTGGAAATCGGTGGTGAATAATCATTTTAAAGAAGATTCATTTGGTTCTAAATATCGCAGCATGTTTGAAGTCAAAGTGGGCAATGGAGAGAACATTCGGTTTTGGCATGACATTTGGGCTATAGATTCTCCTTTCAAAGTTTCTTTCCCTAGACTTTTTGTCCTCTCTACAAATCAGAATGGTAAGTTAATAGAGTTTGGTGAGTTTCGTACTACAGGTTGGTTTTGGCACGTAAAGATGAGAAGGAACTTAAGCGATTGGGAACTGGATCACTAGCAAGATTTGTTAACAATCCTCAATAAAACTAGTCTTTTGGAAGCTTCGAGGGATGGTTTGATTTGGAGAGGAAATGGGGAGGTTATCTACACTGTCAGCTCATGTGTGAAGTTGTGCTTCTATGGTTCGGAAGTTGATCCCTTTTAGAAGAGCCACCTATGGAGTGGGTTGGTGCCTCCAAGGGTGGAGACTTTTATGTGGCAGGTAGTTCATCAGAAATTGGTCGTAAAGACAGAATTACTAAAGAGAGGGGTTCCGGGGATGATGGACATTTTATGCTCGTTATGCAAGTTGGAGATGGAATCATCCTCACATTTATTCTTCGCCTGCTCAGTTGCATGGAATCTGTGGAATAGGTTCATAAATTTGTGGAGAATCACTTCGGTATTTCATGAGAATGCACAAAGATTTCTTTTAGCTTGAGAAGATTTGGTGTCTCATTCAACCTTATGGTCCTTTATTCCGGGTGTCGTTCTTTAGACAATTTGGAAATATAGAAATGCCATTGTTTTTTATGGGGGTGTTAGATCATGTTGAATTATTTTTCATTGCAAGATTTAGGCTAGCTTCTTGGTTCTTAGCCAAGTTTAATGATGTTTCCATATCTAAAGACTCCCTCATAAGTGATCCCTCTCTTGGGGATTTCTATTTGACTTCCAAAAATCTATTAGTTAAACAGATTTCTTGGTTTCCTCCTCCGAAAGGCTTTCTATATGGATGCAGCTGTCAGTGGTGATTGGAAGACGTGGTTTAGCGGGATCATAAGAGATGAAGTTGGTTCGATGCTAGGTTCTTTCCAAGAAGCTGTTGGTACGGGTCCACCTTCCTTAATGGAGCTCAAGGCAATTAAGCATGATTTAATTTTCTTTGATTCCTTTCGTTGGTGCTTTAAGAAACGATTGATTATTGAAAGTGATAGTAAGGTGTCAGTGGAGTGGGTTAAAAATATGGATAAATGTCCAGATGTGTATGTTAATATTGTCAAGGATATTGCTGATAGGTTAAGAGTTTTGGAGGGTTTAATTCGTTGGGTAGCAAAGACAGCAAATGTTGAGGCAGACAGCTTAGCAAAGTCTGGTATTGGCTAATATTGGGAGTTTTTGTTTGGGTAGTTTATCTTTTTGGTTTTCGGGTTTTTTCGTTGTAAGGGGGTGATCTTGGTTGTATTCAAACATTATGTATTAATCTTTTATTAATAAAATTTGAGGCACTCTTTTCCTCCTTCCGCTAATTAAGGAACACCCTTAGGGGTTTTGATAATCACGAAAGGGGTTTTTAACGAGGCCTCTTCTTATCAAAAAAAATTATACCAATTAGAAACGTTGTACTCATTGAAGGATTGCTTCTTTGAGATGTTCACTTTCCTCATCTTCTCAATGGTCCAACTGTTGTGAAAACGGACTAACTAACTAAGGAAATCAACAAGAAGTAAAGCAAATAAAGAACACAAGATTTAACGAGGTTCTGCAATGTGCCTACGTCTTCGGGAGTGATGAGCGATTCTCTTTATTATTCGCAATAATCCAAAATTATGTTACAATTACAATATATGAGTAACCCTGGTACAATTACAAAAATACCCTGTACCGTACCACGGGGGCGAAACAGTAACGAAACTTCCCCAATGGATAGATGCTGGTATGTGAGCCATATATAACAAATCTCCATCTTGGCGAATATCCTGCCCCTTAGGAGATGAAATAGAAAACTGGAAGTTTATCAAGCATCAAAGTGGGTTGGGTTACCATGCTTCTCTAGCAACTGTAAACATTCAACAAGTCCAAGTAATGCATGAACTTGTCAGTAGTAACTGGCTTGTCAACATATCAGTTGCATTCTCACTTGTATGAACCTTCTGTAACAATCTCTCCAGATACAGTCAGCTCTCTAATCTTGTGAAACCTTACATCAATATGTTTAGTTCTAGCATGATACACTTGATTTTTAGCCAAATGAATAGCACTATGGTTGTCACAATGCAATTGAACTCCACCTTGCTGAACACCCAATTCCTTTACTAGCCCAGTAAACCATAAAACTTCTTTTGCAGCTTCAACTGTTGTCATGTGTTCTGCTTTAGTTGTAGATAATGCCACAATAGACTGAACAGTTGACTTTCAACATATAGACCCTCCACCAAGAGTAAAAACAAACTCAGTTGTAGATCTTCTATCATCCAAGTCACCTGCGTAGTCTGAATCCACATATCCTACAACCAAAGGATTATCCTGCTGAGTACCAAAAACAATTTCATTCCCTATAATGCCCTTCAAATATCAGAAAACACTGGGTGGATCTATGTATTATGTTCATTTATTGATGATTTTTCTAGGAACGTTTGGGTGTACTTCATGAAATAAAAATCTAAAGTTTTTGCCAAGTTCAAGTTGTGGAAAGCTGAGGTGGAGAACCAAACTGGTAGAAAGAAGTATTTGAGGACTGATAATGGCACAGAGTACACAAATTCACAGATTCATAGATTAATAAATTTTGTGAGGAACATGGGATTCAAATGCATTTTACAGTGCGCAAGATACCACAACAAAATGGTGTTGCAGAAAGGATAAATAGATCATTGAATAAAAGGGCAAGATGTTTGAGACTGAATGTAGTGCTTCCTAAAAGTTTCTGGGCAGAGGCTGTGAACATGGCATGCTACCTCATTAACAGATCACGAAGAGCATCATTAGGTGGCAAGGTTGCAGAAGAGGTATGGACAAGTAATGCGGTTGATTTTGGTCACTTACGAATTTTTGGTTGTCCTGCTTATGTGCGTGTACCTAGTGATGAGAGATTAAAGCTTGATGCAAAGTCAAAAAAGTGCATTTTTCCAGGGTACAAGAAAGGTGTCAAAGGGTACAAGTTTTGGTATCCGATTACAAAGAAAGTGGTGATTAGTAGAGATGTGGTCTTTGATGAGCAGTTCATGTTGCAGCAAAACCAATACAAGGCAGTGATGGATGTAGAATAGTATCCAGTAGCAGCTGAGAGAGAGGAAAGTTCTAATCCAACTTCTAGTGGTTCTAGTACAGTTAAATTGCAGGATTATAAACTAGCCAGAGATAGAGAGAGACGTACGAATATAAAAGCTCCAAACATATTGGGTTTTGAAGACATGGTCTCCTTTGCACTTCACATTAGTAGTGATGATCCAACTACTTTCCAAGGAGCTATTACTAGTCAGGAGAAAGGAAAATGGATGGCTGTAATGGCTGAGGAGATGGAGTCTTTGCAGAAAAATCTTACATGGGAGCTAGTTCGTCTTTCTAATGGAAAGAAGGCTATTGGTTGCAAATGGGTGTATAAAAGGAAATCAACAGTATCAGAAAAAGAGGGAAAAGTTCAAGGCTCGATTGGTAGCAAATGGTTTTTCACAGCAGAAGGGAGTAGATTATGATGAAATCTTTTCTCCTGTGGTTAGGCATACTTCAATCAGGGTAGTACTTGCATTGATAGCTAGTTGAGATTTGCATTTAAAGCAGATGGATGTCAAAACTACCTTTTTGCATGGTGATTTAGAGGAGCAGATTTATATGCAGTAGCCAGAAGGTTCACTCAACCTGGACATGAGCATTTGGTTTGCAGGTTGAAGAAATCCTTATATGGGTTGGAACAGTGTCCAAGACAATGGTATAAACGGTTCGACTCCTATATGATTAAGATTGACTACAAGCGATGTGAGTATGATTATTGTGTTTATGTTAGGAGCCTTGATGATGGTTCTTTTATTTTTCTGCTATTGTATGTTGATGATATGTTAATTGCTGCAAAGAATATGCATGATGTTGTTGGTTTGAATGCTTTATTGAGCCAGAAATTTGATATGAAAGACTTGGGTGCTGTAAAGAAAATTTTTGGAATGGAGATTCATAGGGATAGAGGCTCAAGGAAACTGTGGTTATCTCAGCAAGGCTATGTTGAGAAAGTGTTATACAGGTTTGGGATGAGCAATGCAAAGCCGGTAAGCACTCCATTGGCAAATCAGTTTAAGCTTTCTTCAGAACAATGCCCTAAGACAGATAAGGAAGTTGTTGACATTATGCTAGTGTTGTTGGTTGCTTAATGTATGCAATGGTATGTACTCACCCTGATTTAGCTTATGTTGTTAGTCAAGTTTGTAAATAAATGTCTAAACAGGTAGGCGACATTGGTCAAGTGGATTTTCAAGTATTTGAAGGGCACTGTAGGGAATGGAATCGTTTTGTAGTCAGCAGGATAATCCTTTGGTTGTAAGATATGTGGATTCCAACTAACCCATTCCAACCCATGCAGCCCATTTTTCTCTCGCTCTATTTCATGGGACCTCTGCTAACATGAGTCACGTATCAGCAATTTTTCTCATTTTCTATTAAATATGGGTCTACTATGTTTCCAAATACTTTTACTTTATAGCTATTTTGAAGGATACAAAAAACATGAACTAAACAACTGAATGGAGCGAGCCTAAAATAGCATAAAAGTAGTAGTTATGAGCTAACCTTAAGCCGCCTTGTTTTGGTCTGCCAATTGCTTTGCTTCATTATGATAAGGATTTCGTAAAGAAAGAAAGTACAGTATTTATAAGATCAAATTAACCAATTTTAATTACCAGAAGCTTATCTGGACTTGGGAAGGATCCAGGGCAGCTTAAATGGACATTTACTTGTCATACAAGTGATTGATAAACATGGACTCAATAATAATCTAGACTCATGGAGTAGTAAGTACAAAATTTCGTAACATTCTAGGGTGCAAGGATTGCATAAAGCTATGGTTTTTTTTTTACTTCCGGTATCCGATAGCCACATTGATCCCTGACTATTTCGAAGTCTAGCCAGGTTGGACTCCAAACAGGAGGAAACCTTTCTCAGCACGCTATTTCCCCCTAAAATTGCTGTATGACCTATAAATTACTTGGAATTAAAAATGAAAATCTGGAACAAGAAACACTGGTTTCGTTTGTTACATGGCTCAACTGGGGTTTCGTTTGTTACATGGCTCAACTGGGTTAATAATGGTAGCAAGGCTCCTTAGGATTGATACCCTGCAGAATTGGTATGACACTCGTTTCCATTATTTAACCATTGTTTTTTCCATTGTCTGTTATCTGGCCTTGGGGATATGCCTTTTCACCGCACAAGCAAAAATGCATCTTTTCCACCATATGTATGTAATTATGTAATTATTTTGGAAAACCAATTTCTTTGCACCAAAAGACATCCTCTGTTGTGTGTGTGCACTTTTTTAAAATTTGGTTGAGTTTTTAATTCTTTATCAGTATCTTGGATCTATCATATAGCAGAAAGAAATGATGCTAATTAAATGATGATATCATGATTGTAGAGCAATGGGACGATATTGTGTTCAAGTTGAATGATTCCAGAAGATATAGGCGAACTGTTGGGTCTATTGCTGGTTTCTGTTTAACAGCGACAACTCCTTTTGGCTTCTACTAGTCAAGCAGCGTGCTTGGTGGCACTGGACATAATTGAGGTATTTCTCTGAAAACCTTGTCATTTTAAATGGAGCAGCTGACTGAGATTGGTTGGATGATTACTAGTTAGTAATCCAGGTAAACCTAATTACAGATAACAGGGAAATAGGGTCAATAGAAAATTGCTATGGTCCATAGAATATTAGTCAAAACTGCAAGTGTGAGATGCCATAAGCTCCTAAAGCATATAGGAAGCAAAATATCATTCAAACAGATATCGCTGTTCCCAGTCCATTACTCCATTTTAGTAAATGCTGGACAGACTTTAACTGTAAACCACTATTTCTATAAATGGCAGAAGACATCATGTTGCAGATTCATCAAACACTTTTAATCTTATTTTAATCAACTCCGATTTGTAGGATGGCATAGCAACACTAGCGAAAGTCGAAGAAGCCTACAGGATTGAAAAGGAAACCATAGAAGCAGTTGAAGAAGAGCTTGAATTGCAGTCATTATATCAGCTGAAAGATAATCTGACTGCTGCTGATGACAGTACCATTGACAACAGGTTGCTTCCAGCAATAAATAAAATTTGGCCGTTCTTGGTTGTTTGCGTTCAACAAAAAAACACATTGGTATGTATTTTTTCTTTTTTACCTGGCTGAATCGCCTCAAACTAGCATTGTTTAAGTTGATCTTACTCTTCAATTTTAAATTTTGGGTTGACTATCTCTTCATCAGCTGCTTCGTAGGTTGCAGTAACCTAACTTATTGACATTTTGTTGTGCGTCATATTGGATTACTACTTTTGTTCTTTCAACAGGTTGTAAGGAGATGTTTAAGTGTTGTAAGCAGTGTCGTGCAAACTTGCGGAGGAAACTTTTTCTCCCGCTGCTTCCACACGGATGGAGCTCATTTCTGGAAACTCTTAAGCTCATCTCCATTCCAAAAGAAGGCAAACTTGAAAGAACGAGCCCCATTACAACTTCCATACAGGAGTGGTAATGCATCTTCAGAGGACTCTGTAGCAGAAACTTCGAGTTTGAAAGTACAGGTAGCAGTGCTCAATATGATTGCTGATTTATCCCAAAACAAAAGAAGTGCTTCAGCATTGAAAGTTGTTATGAAGAAGGTTAGTGGTATCGTGGCGGGCGTAGCGTGCAGCGGAGTCGCCGGGCTTCACGATGCATCGATGAATGCGCTAAAGGGACTTGCATCCATTGACCCTGATCTTATATGGATTCTTGCAGGTGATGTTTTCTATTCAGTGAAGAAGAATGGGTTGCCTTCACCACCAACCTCGGATTTTCCACCAATCTCTGAAATTCTACCACCAGCTGAGTCTTATAAGAAGTTCCTATACGTGAAATATGGAGGGCAGAGTTATGGTTTTGATGTAGAGATTTCGTCCCTGGATACTGTACTTCGGAAATTGCAAGCTTTTGATGTTATCTAAACCTATTCACACCTAAAGTTTTGTATATTTTAAAGTCTGCTGCATTTGGTGCTTCTATTGGCTGTTCTGTCTGATGTTTATTTTTACTAATTTATTTCTATAAATTAAAAATCAATTATCTATGGAATAAAAAAGATAAAATTCCGTTTGTATTTATAATTGTGGTTTTTTATTGAGAACTGAATCAATTTTTTAGTAATAAAAAAAAGCTGATAGTGAATATATATATATATATATATATATATATTAGTCCTATAGTGTTAAAAAATAAATAAATTGTTGCTGTGATAATCTTTTTATTTAAAAGATAAACTATACAACTGTCAGTTTTGTATGAATTTTATAAACTTTTTTTACCAAATTCAAAAAATATATGATTTAATCACTTTTATTTCATTTTAATTAAGATGTGATCACTGAAGGTTAAATCGTTAACGGTTTGTTGATGTTCAACGATAAATATATAAAATTAAAATTACATTATTTTTACGTAGATAATACGTTGATTAAGTTTATCACTTTTCTTTCATATTTGTATATTTTTACTTACTAAATTTAAAAAATATATGTTTTGGTCACTTACCTTATCATTTATAAAGTTTTGGTCACTCACATTATCGTTTTATTAAGTTTTGGTCACTTGAACATTGAATATTGTTAGTTTAATTACGTGGCCCGTTAGTAAAATGATTTAATTTTTATTTAAACCCTAAACTCATGTTATCATCCAAGTGACCAAAACTAAATAAAATAATAACATAAGTGACCAAAGTTTAATCCACATATTATTTATGTGGAAATGATGTAATTTTAATTTTATATATTTACCGTGTCACGTCATCAAATCGTTAAATGTTAACAGACATTAAATTTCAGTGACAACATCTTAATTAAAACAAAATAAAAGTGACCAAATGTTATGTTTTTTGAATTCAATGGAAAATTTTATAAAACTAAAAAAAAGTGATCATTTATGTAGTTTACCCTTTTTTAATGATGATGTTGCATTATTATGTGATATCACAACAACATAACATAATTGTTAACTTTTGATGGGTGTTACTAGAATAGAATCAAATCGTAATATTATGTATAATTTTTTAAAAATAATTGAATAATCAAACGAAATTAAAGTGATAATTGAAAGACTGATTGTATTATTTACTCAAACATTTATTATTTTAAAAGGTAATAATTTTAGGAAAAAGTTTTAATTGTGATACGTCGAGGAACATCATTTGTATTTATCACTTGAAAAAGTCAACGTCATTTGTATTTATCACTGATAAAAATAAAATAATTTGACGTACGATATAATTATGTGATGTCATTGATTATTTGAGGGCGATTTGACTAAATTGACTCCTTTTCGCCGTAATATTCCCTCTCTAACATCCTTTGACTAATATTTCCCGAAGTAACACCCTTTCGGTTGAGGTGGCACAAAGGCCCATCCCTAGGGACCTGCTTTACCTGGGTTTATGCTAACTAGGATGCCACACGTGTAAGGCGAATCCCCAGGGACACGTTTTCACGGGGTTCTGCTGAGTCAGATGCCACAGGGGTAAGGCGCATCCCCGGGAACGCGCCATCCATTAAATGCCATAATTGCCCATCCGTTTCCCCCCCCCCCCAACTACCCCTCCTCCTCCCCTATATAAACCCCCTCAACCCCCCTCATTCTTCACACCAAAATCATCTTTTCCTCTTTTATATAACTCAAATTCTCCAACTATTTGAGTTTTAAACTTCTTATTAATGGAAAGAAATTTATTTTTAAGTTAGTATTTTTTAAATAGTTTTTATATTTTATAGTAATATAATTATATAAATATTATTTTTTATTAAAATAATATTTATATAATTATTATTTATTTAAATTTATTAATTAATTATTTTTTGTGCTAATTATATTTTTTTGTCTACAATTATAATGGAAAGTGAAATGCTTCTGCGATTGGATGCAAACCATATCTCTAGACATTTTAGTGATATGATAATATTTTTTATAATTAATGTTAATATTTATTATTATTATTAATTTAAATTTATAATGAATTTATATTAATTATAACTTTTTATAATGCATATTATTTAGGAAACTAGTCGTATTTTAAAGACTTTTTAAAAACCCACGTATACCGACAGCGCAATGTAGTTTTCCATATTTGTCTTCTGCCGGGTTCGGGTATATTGCAACAATTATTGGCGGTTGCAAACTCGAATATGTCCTAATTTATGCATTGATTGAGAGGTGGAGGCCCGAGACACACACATTTCATATTCCATGTGGAGAGGCTATAATTACATTGGAGGATGTCTCTATGCATCTGGGGCTTCCCGTCGATGGGAATATTATGTGTGGTATGGCGGATGGTGATTGGCAGTCAATGTGCATGGAGTATCTTGGAGCTGCTTCGTCGATGGAGTTGCTCCGGGATAAAAGCAGCAATGGAGTCTTTGGGTACAATGTATAGACCTCCACATGTTCAACATCGTTATTGTGTCCATCATATTGCTACAAATTATTACGGAAAATACAAGAAGAACGATGAACGTTAGTTAGTCGTGCGGATGTGTATGTTACTTTTTCCCAAATTTTTCTATCATTTTCGTATTACTTATTTATACTTCATATTAACTATTACATATTCCTAATGGCTTAGGTTACGAACTCTTACCTCAAAGGTTTGAGTATATGCTACAAGAGCTTTTTGGCAAAAATAAGAAGGGGTGCGAGTACATTATGGACATCAGCAAAGAAATGTGGACAAATGTGTATGACAGGGGGTATCGCTATGGTCATATGCCAACCAACTTGGCTGAAGCAATAAATTCTTTGTCTGTTTTGTTCAAATTTCCCTGAAATTGTTGAGCATGTATTTTTCTCCGGTGAAGCTTCCTGGAAAGTTTGGGGAGAGTTCCTCTCTTTGTTGGAAGTGTCGATTACTTTCCCTGATATCCCCATCTGCTTTTTTTCGGTCTGGTACGACGAGTCTCTTATTCCTAATTTCTGTTGCAAAACCGTGTGGAATCTCTTTCCATTTGCTATAATTTAGTCTGTTTAGTTGCATTGGAATGATATTGTCTTCAATAGAAAAAAACTATAGGTGCTTCAGGTGGTTTTTCTCATCAAATTCCGAGTTGCATGTTAGCTAAAGGCCAACCTTCCAATATCCTCTCTTAGCACGGAAAATCTGGTTGTTGATCTATCTCACGGTCGATGCCCGCTTGAAGAAGCAATTGTCATTGCCTCGACTGTCTTAGGTTCTTCCAACGAGAGGAGTGTTGAAATTTAACGTTGACGGTGTTATGCAGGTGGATGGTGGTAGTTGGGGTATTAGTGGTATTCTCTGGGACTTTAAAGGTTATTCGATGTTATCTTTTTCAGTTCTAATCGAATGTGGATATCCGATGCAGGCAAAAATTTTGGCAATCAAGCACGCTTTAGAGTTGTTTCTAGAGTCAAAAGTGATTCAAGGTAGTAGAGTTAATAATCGAATATGACTATGAAGCAGTGTTGAAGTGGTTTTTGTATCCGGTTAATGCCCTTCCTGAATGGGCGGATATTCTTCGCCCTATTGCTGTAGTAGTCGTTCAAGAAAAAGGTTGTAGTTAAGTATGTTCCTAGAGTTTGTAATATACGGCTGATGAACTAGCAAAGATGGCAATAGGGGCAGCACCAGCGCAAGGGGTGATGTTTTCCGTAGTTGATTAGCCCTCGGGTCTCTTTTCATTAGTAGGGGGCCTTGAGACAGGTCGGTTGGTTTGTTATATGGCCAGGGGTGATGTAACATCCTCAATACTGGGTTAGTGATTAAATTGTAAAGTTTCAGAATTTGGTGATTAAAGTAGAATAATTGAATAGTTTAATGAGTTATATGGGAAATGTTGTGTATGATTGTAGTGTAAAGAAGAAGAAAGTGAAGGACAAAATGGTCATTGGCAAAGGGAAATAATTTAATTGTTATGGTTATATATGTTTCCATGTGGAATGGGGTGGAGAAGGAAATAAGCTTCCAGAGTTCTCTTCTTTTCTTCTTTTCTCCATACGTGAAGACCCAAGCTAAAGGTAAGATCTCTTGTTAGTGAAATTCTTGATGAATTTATGGTTGATTTATGACCATTAGACAATAGTTAAGCTTAAGGAAAGCTTCATTTGTTTTAAAACAACAAGATGACGGAGTTATGAAGGATTAAAGAAAGGAAGTGGAAAAGTGAAATTTTGATTGGGAAGTATTAATTAGATTTCAAGACTAAATTTGACTTGTCATTAGTGGAATTAAGGAATATGAAGTGTTAGAATGAGAATTAGAATATGTTGGAAATTAAGTGTGATTCTTGAATGCCATATAAAGGATATGATTTTGAGTTTAAGGAAGTGATTATTGAGTAGGAATGAGTGTAAGTATATGAATGCATGTTAGGGATGTTAAAAGAGGTGAAATATGATGAGTTGAGCTGAAAAGAGAGTGATTTTCATGCTTAAAATGACATTTCTGAGCTAGGGGTGTCAGTACCCATTCAACAGGTACCGATACCGTCTCAAACGAAGGAATCACATAATGTATTGAGGGTATCAATACCCCCCCAGTTGGGTACCGATACCCCCTTGAACGAAAAATCACAGAATTCCATGAGGGTACTGATACCTTATGTAGGGTATCGATACCCCCTAAAGGAAAAATAAAATAGTGATTCCTTAAATTTGTTTAAGTTATTAGAAGCAAGTTACAAGGTTTAGGCATCTGATATGGATCCATGTATGATTATGTAGATACTAAACGTAATCTCGTTCCGGAACAATCGAATGATTAGGATCAATTCAAAGCAACAAGGCTAAGGTGAGTGCATAATATTGGTATAATTTAATGGAAATAAGACTTGTGATAAGTCTGTTTCCTAGATTTATTTCATAGTATGATAGTTATGAACATGCATATGTTATAGTCTTTATTACACATGCATAAATCATATATGTTGACATGTGATTCGATACAT